GGAGTTCTGCGGCACCGGAGTTCTGCGGCACCGGAGTTCTGCGGCACGTTCGGGCCATTTCGCCCGACACCTGGCCCACCCAGGCCCACTGCAGAAGGAAAAGCCCAACGCCGAAGGCTGGACGTCTGTCGTGTCGAACGACTTGTGGTGTCTCCTTTTGGTTTCCGACGGGGCGGGCTGGACCGGGTTACGCTTCGGTCGGAGGACCGGTTTCGTTAAGCCCTGAAATCCCAAAGAACCGAGCTGTTTTAATGGGATCACAAAACCAGGTCAAACGATGGGTTGAATCACAGTTTTTAGGGTTTTTTCTTTTTAACAACAATAAGCAGGTCATCCATGGTCAACCGAACTCTCGCAATGGTCATTTTCACGGAAGGCCAACGGGCCAACGGGTGTTGTACGTGATTCTTCATAAGTTCATTCTGTCTTCCAATCCTTCGTCCTGCACCGCTGACGTGACGAGGGTCGGCAGTGTTCGACCCGTTTTTTCCAGCATCGCTTTTTCACGGCACGGGCTGTCTTTTCGAGGGTCGGATGCGGTGCATCGGTCGGGTTCGTTTGGGGTGAAAGACGAAGTTGCAGGAATCGCAGGAATCACGAAGAGCTTTGGAATCAAAGCTGGTGTGAGGATTCTGGCTGGCAAAAAGGACTGAAGTAGGTGTCAGCAGCAACTCTAAGTGACTTCCAGAGTGACTGGGTCGTATTTTGATGTATTTTGTAGTTTTCAGCCCGGGTCGCAGTATAGTCGTCGCCGCCTCGGTGCTTTCTTCAGCTTTGGCGGTTCCTGGCGGAGAAGAGCCTGGGAATTCAGAGATCGACATTCATGTGCTTGGCTTGGATGGAGAAGGATTGGCTCTCGCTCACTCCTTCACCGGCCACGAGTTGCACATGATGGCGAGTGAAGGCCTTCCACCAAAATTTGGGACCAGAGTTGCTTTGCAGAGCGCATTTGGGAAGCTTGACCCCACAAAGACCTTGAAAGAGCAAGGACTTGTTGGGGAATCGGCATGCTTGACCTATGTCTACATCGCGATCAGCTTGCAAGATGCCTGCCGTTTTTTATTGGAGGGTTGTCAGACTAACGAACAAGACTCTCTTGAGGAATCACACACTTGGAAGGAGTTCATCTTCCCCTTCACCTTAGACAGCTTCCTGACACTTTGCAGAAGCTCACTTTGGGGCATCCCTTCACGAAGGGGCTTCAAACCGTGACCTTACCAAGTCGGTTGCAGAGCCTGTTCAGAGTCTAACTTTCGGCTGCATTTTCAACCAGACTATGAAGGGAACAACTTTGCCCATGAGACTGAAGTGCTTGCGGTTTGGCGACTACTTTAACCAGACCTTAGAGCTAGTGGAATTGCCCGACAGCCTCGAGACTCTCACATTGGGTGTTAACTTTAACCAGTGCTTGGAGCGAGTGAAATGGCCCAGCAAGCTGCAAAACCTCGTTTTTGGCTATTCATTCAACCAGAGCCTAAGGCACGTGGCCCTGCCAAGCAGCCTACAGAGTTCAACCTTTGGCGGCGACTTCGATCAGTGCTTGAAGCAAGTAGCGTTGCCCAGAAGTCTGCAGAATCTGGCTTTTGGCCTGAGCTTTAACCGGAGTTTGGACGAAGTTGATTTGCCCGGCAGCCTGCAGAGTTTGACATTTGGTGAAAAATTTCAACCAGAGTTTAGCTCAAGAGAGTTTTCCTGCGAGCCTTCTGAGTTTGACATTCGGTGAATTCAACCGGAGCTTAGAGCGAGTTACCCTACCCAGCAGACTTGAGAGTCTGAGTTTCAATAGCGGATTGGAGAGTTTGGAGCAAGTCGCTTGGCTCCAAAAGAGGCTCCAGAAGGCTCCGTCACTTGGCTTCAACGTCTCCAACGTCTCGACGGGAGTGGCTTGGCCCAGCAGCTTGAAGAGTTTGACGTTTGGCACTCAATTTGAGTTGGGAGCAGGTGGAGTTGCCCGACAGCCTCGAGACTCTCACATTGGGTGTTGACTTCACCCAGTGTTTGGAGCGAGTGAAATGGCCCGGCAAGCTGCAACACCTCGTTTTTGGTTATTCATTCAACCAGAGTCTAAGGCACGTGGCCCTGCCAAGCAGCCTACAGAGTCTGACTTTCGGTTGCAGCTTCAACCAAAGCTTGGAGGAAGTGTCCTGGCCCAGTCTCCTAAGCCTGAGCAGAGTCTGGGGGTGATTTCTTGCTCAACCTTTCGAGCAGGTGTCCAATCGCCTTCAGGAACTTCAACACCTGACCTTTGCCCTTTGAGTCTCCAACCAGCCCTTTGAGTCTCCAACCAGGGCCTGAAACTGGGCCTCTCGAGAGCTTGAAACTGGGCAGTCAATTTGCTCAGAGTTTGAAAATTTGAAGGGGGTGACCTGGCCCAGCAATCTGAAGACTGCTGGGCCGTTCCTTGCGTTCCTTATCCCTGGCCTTTGCCATCTGTGGATTTGAGGATGCAAAGTTGCAAATCTGGCCTCAAAGTCTTTGAACTGTGATCTGCACAGATTTCACGGTGGGGCTCTAAAAAGGAACACACCGTTTGCTGAACGAACTAAAGGGTTCTTCTTGGGCTGGCAGGCTGCTCTCCATGTTGGGGCCTAGGCACTTCGAAGCATGAATACTTGAGTCATTTTGATTCTAGAAGATGGCTTGAGCCGATTGGAACACTGTTTTGTATTTGCCTTGTCTAAATTAGTCTTTTTCATCAGCATTTCACTTTCCCACCTTCCCCTTCACCTTGCAAGCCATTCACAGACACCGCCCTGCGAAGCAGCCCTGCAGCCCTTCTCGAAGCAGCGTGTCCGAGTGCACTGAGCTTCGCGCAAGGCGAAAACGCAGGGCAAGGCATGTCCGAGATCCAGCTGATGTTCAACATTGCCTCCCGGAAAACAACGTTTGGTCTGCGACTGACACATGTGTTGACCAGTCAACATGTGCTGACGACATGGTGGGAAACTACAACTGAACAGCCGTTCTTTTGGTTCGGCATCTTCGCTGCTGCGCTTAAGATGCGCAGCATGCATCTTCCTTCGTTCTTTTCAGCGGCTCCGAACCTTTTTTTCGGTTCAGAACGTCCACCACGACCGGACCTGGCCGGGGTAGTTCCTTTTCGTTCCACTAACGACGGTGTCGGACTGGGACCCGCGGCGTGGGTTGTGGGTCGCTGGGTCTTCCAATTGGAATGACACACCTGTGCAGTTGACAAAGCCATTGGTCTTCTGCCAGTTTTTGTCTAGGTGGTGGTTTGGATGCTTTGTATTGTTTTGTTCTACCTGATTCATCCAAAGTAGCAATATATATATATTATATTAATTTCAATGTTTCTCCCATTTGTTCCAAGTCTCTTTTGGTTGACAGGTTTCGACCACGAGATAGAACATCACCTGGGTGGTGGTTTCAGAATCTTCAACCTCTACTTGGGATGATTGAGCCGACAGGTCCTTAGATCTTTTGTTCTGTTTCATTGAACACATCTACCATTTTCAGACCATGTCAGATCTACTTGTTTTTCGCTTGTCCGTCCGAGTCCATCCTAGGTGAAGAGCGTGGTGGGCGAAGGGATGCTAAGCCTTCCTGCGGGTGTCGCAGGTGGCACAGGTGCGCGGGAATGTGGGAGAATTGCATACCAGGGGGTCGAACTAGGAGGCCTCCGTATTTTAACACACCCATCTGGAGATGTAGAAGCATTCTGGCAATTCGTTGGTGGTTGTAATTAAGAAAGCAATGTCTACATTGCGTCGCTTTGATTCATGTTCAACAGATCTTGACAGACTCATTTGATCATGCTTACGTCATACACCTTTTATGTACCAGCACCACGGAAGGGTGGTTTATGGACACCTCTGACTATGTATGTTCCATCCAATAACCACCCCTTCCGTGGTGCTGGTAGAAGGGTTCACTCCAAAGTAGTCACTCTCCAGCGGTTGAGATCTGAGATCTTCAGCGCTGAGATGTGAGTAAGGCAGTGCCATGCAGTGCCAAACAGAAGTCTCACGACGAAAAACGGATATCCCCAAACAGAAGATCCCCCGCAAAACCGAAGATGACAGACAGGATCTCCAATTTCATTCTTCGGAATCTGTTTCTCACCAAAGCTCCGTAAGCCTCGCGCGGTCTTTTCCGACGCGTGAGGCTTGTTGGTGGGGGCGCCCCAGTGTGTGCTCGCAGCGCGTGCTGCTCCGTGAGTTTGGATCGGCACCCTCTGAGTTCGGGTGATTGGTTGGGTGTGTAACAGTCAACCCTGGCAAACCTGACATACTTGGCCAGCAAGTGTGGCTGGGTCTGTGTGTGACGAGACGTCGGTGCGAGTTTCGGAGGGACGTTTTCCGCATTTGGGAAGTACACTGGAATCATCCATTGGTGGTGAAGGTGGAAGCGAGTGGAAGCTGGCCCCCTTCCTTCGCATCCACGATGCCATCCGAAGACCATGGCACCGGTGGTGCCATCCACTTCCATCATGATGATTCCAGGAGTGTACACTCCCGAAGAGACCCACATAGACCCTGACGTCCTGGTCCCATGGAAGACTATTTTCCTCTACCAACCAGGGGTTTTCAGGTTCCATGTTAGTCTTCCAGGGTATAATTGTTTGTTTGAGAGGGTTCGCTCCAGTCCCCTAGCTCCAGCGCGAGCCGGCGGGGGGCAAGAAACATCTCCCGAACACCCGGGTTGTCACCCTCGAATTTAACACGTGGATCTGTGGGCACAGCGCGTGCATCGAGGCAGCACATGAGAGAATCAAGAGCCCAAGAGCGAGAATCAAGTCTTGTTCATGTTTAATCTCTGTATTTCACTCTGGTCCAAGAACTTCTTTACACTGGATCTGGTGCATTTTGATGCTTGCCTGTTGGCTTCAGTGTGCCCTTGCCCGCCCACACCGCTTGAAAACACCTCGAACACAAAGCTCCCCTAAGGCAGGCAGCATGATGACGATCTTATTCGCCATGCTCATGGGCTACACCTTTGCGCTCATGGGCCGCGTTTGTCAGGCCACAGGCCGGTGCTCAACTATGAGGGGTGCTTGTTTTACGTTCGGTCTGGGGAGTTTATCAGCAAGCTCGAAGCACCTTTGACTACTGCTTGGTTGATGCTCTATAGGGGGATACCTTCAGGTGAAGATTGAAAACGATCTGGCATCGACCTGCTTTAGGACTTCTAATTAAGGGCGGACATCATGGATTCCAATAAGATCGACCAAAAGGATTTCATCCTACGCCAGCGGCGGGGAGGGGTCCCAAACCCCAACCTCGTCGTCTTTAAACGCAGATCTGTGGGGGCTACACTTCCTGTTTGAGCTACACCCCCCCCCCCCCCTCATCTTTCCTTCGATTCAGATGTCCAACTGTCCAACATCCCCCGGTCGATCTGCTTCCGCAGAGACTCAGCGGGGCGCCTACCGCGCCGCGCGCGACGGTTTCTTCGGCGTCGCAGGGGGCCGAAGCCACAAGGATTGCTGCGCCAAAGTGGCAGAGCCTTGGGTGGCGGAGAGTGGCTTGGACAAGAGCAGCTTGAGTGGTCATGGGATTTCACTGGGAGGGGTGACATGTACTGTAGACCAAATGGGTCCGTCCTATTAGTGTACCTGTTTCCTGTCAGGTTTCACAAGCAAGTCACAATTTTTGAACTGTCGGCCTGCAACTGAACCATCATCATCATCATACACTGTTACAGGTAATAGGATAGACCCAATGTAGACTCTTGATTCACAGACCTCCCTAGGCCTTGAAAGGGGGGTTTTCAATCCATGGGAAAGGGAGTCCTTACTAATGAAGAGTCTACAGTCTACATTAGGGGAGGTGTTTTTGGTGAACATGCTCTTCCATGTCCTGAGGACACATCGCATTTCGGTGCTGGGAAGTCTGATCCATTTCCCAGTGCTTTATTTGTTGGATTTGTATTTGTGACCTCGTGCGACCATAGTACCTGTATATACATTTACTCTGTGTATCTTTGCGTACTCTGTGCGTGTGTGCAACTGTGTGCGCAAGCCAATCTTTGGCTCCAGACCTGCATCCAGCCCTGCACGCCTCAGCCAAAAACTTTGTGCATGAACTCAAAGATCAAGTTGCAGAAGGGATCGCCCAAACGAGAGATCACTGACTGGGTTTACACATATTTTCTTGTGACAAAGGCCTTAGTGTAAAACATGCTTTATGCAAATGTGGGTGCAGTGTAGTGTAAACGTTTATGGGTGCAAAAAGCTGGCCGGTCAGCTTTGTTGTGCCTTGGTATAGAAGCCAAGGGGGGTACCAGACCCGGGTGAGTCCACAACAGATTCTACCAACCAGCATGATAGACAATCAGGTATTGAAGTTAATTATTGGTATCCAATGTCCAATCCACAATGCGGGAGACAATGTTAGTGCACCATGCAAAACAAACTTCGGCCGGCGGATTTGGTCCAGGAGTTGCGTCGCAGAAAGAGCGCGCACGGCTGTCGACGCTGCATGGACACCTATAAGTGGTTTCATCATATATTATTTTTGTGAACTCTTGAAACTAAAGCTTGCCCACGGTTTTTTTGATCACTACATCCGCTATGTCATTGGTGTGATTTGAGAAGACGATGGCCATATGCCCCTTCTACTCGGTCGTTTCTGGCGCTTTCCTGGTCTGATCCCGAGGCATGGCCGTGGTGCTCTTCGTGAAAACGATGTTCACGTGCCGTGAGCGATGTTCGATGTTCGGCAAGAAACACGGAGTCAGTGGTTTTCAACCAAAGTGCGGAGCCGGGGTCGACAGGAGAGCGTTTCCCAAGGGAGGAGCGTTTCAACAAATGATCCACGAGCGTTTCAACTTTTCCAGACACGACTAATTAGTGGGACTGCCATGTCGGACTGCCTTCAAAACGGCCAGGGGTGGTGGGTTTGGGGGGTCTGGCTGTTTCTCGCCAGTCCAACATGGCAGTCCCAGGCAGGTCGTGTCTGGGTTGATGAACTTGCTGTGACGGAGCGGATGAGATACATGCCAGTCACAAGACGGGGTGCTATCCATGGAGGTTCGGAGTGCCCAGCTACTCCACTCACTGGATGGGACGTTTCACACCACCCCGTCTTGTGACTGCTGGTGGTGGTTTTTATTCGTTGCATTTTCTTTCGTTGCAGGTCGCTTCTCTCCCGTTTCTTTTTTGTGCGGTTCTCTTAGTCCAAGCTTAAGCTGACAAACTCTTAAAAAACCGGATTGAGGCCTTCTCATATAGGTGCGCCTATAACACAGTCAGCTGTTGCACGAAATGTCGCCCAAAACCAGACCATTCGCCATTTGATCCCATTCGCATTCAGTAGGTCATGTGCACTCGGGACAAGTCCTGGCAATGATTTGTTTTCAACTTTGGCAGCTGCCAGGGACCCAATCGTCGCGCGTTTCGGCGGCCTTTTCTTTGGTCCCTTCCCGATTGATCACACGTGCTCCAACGAAGCGGTCCCACCTGACGACCAATGTAGGCTCTTTTCAGAGGCTTTTCAAATGGGTGGGGGTCGATTAACAAAATGCGTCTACATTCCAACCGAGGTTGAAGACCAATAGACTCTAGACTATCCCGGTCTCCCCACGTTCTACGGGTCCCCAAGTTCTATCTATCACTCACCCAGACACGACCAGTCTGGGACTGCCGGACTGCCTTCAAAACGGCCAGGGGTGGTGGGTACCAGGGGGTCTGGCTTGATCGGTGTTCTTCCTCCAGTCCGGAGCCTAGTCCGGTGACTTCGCTCCGAATCGCGGCAACCACCGCGGGTTGCTCTACCGCCAGCTCCCGCGCCCAGGTGCTTGGCCTTCGCCATCGTCATCAGCGAGTCCTTCGCACGGATCCTGCGTCGCCCCGAGAGACGAGACCGAGACGAGACCGAGACGAGACGAGGTGGTCCTGAGGTGGCTCCTGACGTGTCGGTTGCGGCACGAGTCGAGAGGTGGCTCCTGCGCCGCAGTCGAGAGGTTGTCGGATGTGGAAGAGATTCGGAATCATCATTTCGTTGGAGCACAACTGCTGGGCCAAGTGGACGTGGTTCACATCCACACGTCCACCTGCTCCGTCTGTCCTGCGCTGAGGCGCTTCGTGGGAGTGGAGGGGATCATGGCCAGCTCCCAGGCGATGCTACGAACGGGGCTCCTGGCATCGCTACGAAGGGAGCGATCGGACGCTACTAGGTGCTTCTGGCATTACTACTATAGTAACATTCTTACCCTATGGATCCACATACATTCCAGAAGATAATTGGACCCCCCAAGCCCACATAAATCATCTCCAATCACCATCTCAGAAGGTATGGGGGTCTATATAAACCACCTTTCGAGGATTGTGCCATCTACTCAAAAACCACTGTAGTACCATTCTTACTACCCTAAGAATCCGGGCCCTCAATCACATAGGGTTTTCAGGGTCCCGACCCCTATGGAGGGCCCGACTCTTACCATGGAGGGTACTAGCTAACAAGCTTCGCTACGAACGTAGCATTTCGGGCATTGCGACTCGAGTCCGGAGCCAGAAGCGACGCAGTCGGCCTTACGTAGCGCTCCTGGCCTTACGGGACGGACTTCGGTGGGGACGGAACAGGTCGGGAGATGGGCCGTTTTTTGGGGTGATTTTCGATGTTGGATCACCCACCACCCAGAAGATGGTCTTTTTTCCTATCAAAACAAAGGTCACTCAGGTTCTGGGGATGGATTGGAGATGATTTTGGAGGTTTCCAGCGCAGGACTCACGTGGACTCATTGGGGCCCTCTCCGCAACTTCGCTCTTAGGGTCCTCGCGGAGGTTTCGGAGTTCGTGCTGCCGGTGGGGACTCCCCAAGGTTCAGAAAAAAGGATCTCGATGCGCCGCATGTGTGGGACATCTATAGGTTTTCTTTCTTTTTTTCTGGGTGAGTTGGACAAACTGAGACTTGGCAAGTCATTGCAAGTTCAAACTGATGTTTTTCTTGGTATATAAGTCCAGTCTTAAGGTTCCCCTGCAGCGCACAGCAGCGCAGTTGCAGCTGTGCGTCTGCATCTGCTGATGATAGTAATACAATGGATCTCGAGCTCGCCCAGCGAGAACCAGTGAAACAACGTGCCCAACACGCCCGTGCGTGGCAGCATGTTGAATGTTGTCATGGCTGCTCGCTTGCGAAGCTTGAGGGGTCGGCGATGGTTTTCGCTTTATGATGTTTTTCGCTGGTGCTGGTTGCAGTTGTTTCAGTTGTTTGTCAGACACTCTTCTTGACAACTGGAAACCTTTCAAGCTCCGAACATCTGTTTTTCAACCTGAGAGGCGGCACTCCTGATCCTGACCTTCCTTGTCTTGATCCCGCTTTGCTTGCAGAAACAGTTGCGTGCCGGGACACCCAGCCAACTGACTCCGGCAGGCGTTCTCCGCATGTCGACCCAGATGGCCTCTGGACGGAGGTAACAGGTAACCCCCGCTGATGTGGACAGACATCACCTAGAAGTCCAAAGACTTTTCTTTTCCTGAATCTTGGGGTCCTGAGTAGAGATTGTCACAAGTTCCATCCAGTGTTGTGTTTAGAAGTAAAGGAAGTCCCCGAAATCAGGGGACCATTCTTTCCTCTGACCGACTCCCAGGCTGCTCAATTCACGGTCTGCCCCTACACCGCTCTCCTGCGGTGTCGCGCTTCGGACCGCCGTCGCGGCCAGACCGACCAAACACCACACCGAAAGTTTTCAGCCTCTTGAGTCGTGAACTCCCCGCAGTACGTGTCGGAGTCCATTTAAAGCCCAGAAAACCCTACCAGGACCGACACCAACAGGTCCACCACCTGCGACGTCAAAAGCCTTCAGCCATCGGAGATCTGTGGGTGTCTGGTCGCTCAGATCCTCTCCTATACCTCGATGATTGGATGCTTTGGGCAGGTGCATCTAATGACACTCGGAGATCGTGGTTGGTTTGGCACGAAAAAGTCCATGATGCTAATGACACTCGGAGATCGTGGGTGGGGCAAGAGGTGCTGCAAAAACTAGAGCTTAGATCAATCAGGGTTTCTGAGACGGCCTTGGTGTTGCTTATGTACTTGATTGCACTGCTTGTCATGCTAATGATGTAGGCTGCATATCCTTGCATCACTTACATTTTTGTAGACAAGTCATCAATTGCAAATGATGCCACTTAGATTTCACCAAATTCACACCCAATTTTTTGGCGGAGTACGCAACAAACCGATATTCATTCGAAGCTCCTTATGCTGTTTCTCCAAGAACCCTGTCAACCGCCAGGTTTGGGTGGTGCTCAGCATGCAGATCCGCTATTTAGATGGCTCCTACCGGCCGGGTGGCCAGTTCTATGACAGCTTGCCCAAAGAGGAGGGACCGAAGCGCTTTTCGACATCGCAGACCTTGCTACATGAGTTGTTGGGAGCGGAAGTTCCGTGATGGACTCTGCAACAAAAATGATGTTGAGTTGATTTGTGAGCAAACAGGAGCTCCAAAATAATCCCACACGATTCGCGCATGTTTCAGGGCCCACACACATTTCTGGAAGGGTTTGTTTCAGGTCCAAGGTCTAGTTCTGCTCCTTTTTTGCGCCCAATTCTTTTTGGGGCGAAGGGCCCACACCTCCCACGGTACCATGGCGAAGTTGGTACCACAGTGGGTGCCCGACACCGACCGGTCCCGACCCCCACGCGGCGACTCGTCGATCGTCCCCACCGCGGTTCGATCGTCCCGGGCGGAGGACCAGCCGGACTTCACCCTGGGAGTCATCTATTGGAAGACCACGGTGGGCGCAAACCGCGAGCGCGAGCGCGACCAAACACGCGCTTGAACTGTCAAACGCGAAGCGCACGCGAAGCGCAGAACGTGTGTTTTGACTTTTCTTTTGTGATGCGAAAGTGTTTGTTTCTTTGGGCAATTTGTGGATCGAAGTGAGTTTGGCAGACATGGGTCGGTTCTTTCGACCAGTTCTTTCTTCCGAGAGAGTTTTTGTTGGAGGGATTCACTCATCTGAGTTCTATTGAGTTCCTGAATCCCGTGAGCCGATTAGGCCAAGGATGGTGGTCACTTGGATATGCCAACCGAGGTCAAGTGACCGTAAATCGGACCCGTTACCAGGGGTAGCGAGCGTTCGGATCGTCGAGTTCGGACCTCGGGTGACCTGACCCACCTCCGCTGGTGTGTCTTCTGACATCAGGTGGTGGGACAGCTTCTTTGAACAACTTCTGTCACCATGTCACCATGCGGGGCCACCTTTTTGGATCATATTGGATGGCTGGGTGGCCTAATGGGTGGCCTAGGGCGGGCAGAATGAGAAAAGCAGACATGACATGACATGTGGGGCCCCCCTTGTTCGCCCCCCTCCTCGGAGAGGTGGCGAGCTTTGTGCTTTTGGGCTCCTTGAGCACAGCCTTTATTGCGCCACTTGGCGAGCGGAGGACCGGGACCTGGAGACCCTGCTGCAGCAGCAACACGCAGCGGCGAGCTTTCGCTTCGCTCCCTACGGTAGACGGTTCATTTCTGGTGGGGTGAAGCCGGTGAAGCGAGCTTGATCCGAGCTTCTGCAGCAGTTTCAACCCACAGCCATATGGGATCATATGGGTCTCTATTGAACTAGGGAGACCTCCCAGTTCAACCCCCTGGAAGAATGAACATAGACTAAAACCCATCCGGCCAGGATGTCTCACTATTAAAACACAGACCCATAGGTTTGCTGATCACACCTATGTGGGATTGCTCCGTTCTTGCAGCCGATGAGCTGAGTGGCTTTCAGGGGAAACCGAGTCGGCTGCATCAAAAAAGGCTGCCAAGATCTTTCTTCAGTCGGAAAAACTACTGCTGGGTGGTGGTTTCAGAAAATTGTTCTTTTCAACCTTTACTTGAAATGATTCATCTCTCGTCGGCTCATGAGTTTTCGTGTCGTTTTCGTTTTCAGCCGCCAAGGCAGGACCGGGGTTTGGGTTTCGGCTAATGATAGCACTGAAGCATCATCTCTGACATCATTTTCCGGCCCTTGAAACCTTCCCACAGTGACATCAGATACCTGGATCGGACCCTTTTCTATGCTAAATGTCACGCCGAACTTCATCCATCAAACCAGCCAAGTTCGGTAGACATTTTGCATCGTTGGAAGTGACATCAGATAGAAAAGGCCCGACAACCCGAAGATGGAGAGAAAACAAACCAAAAAGAAAGCGAATTTCGATGAATTTCGTTATTTCTTCTTTCTATCTTTTGTTGCAAAGGATTCTTGGACACCTGCCGACGCTGATGACCCTTCTCATCCCTTCTCCACAAAAGAAGGAACCAGGTGGTGCCATCCACGTAACCATGTTGCAGTGTTCCTCGGAGTGTGCTGTGATGCTGAGACATCGTTGGGAGACGAAACCCCACTTCTCAGACCGGTTCCTTTTCTTCGGCTGAAACGAAGAGTTCCAACAGACCGGGTGACCAACCCCAACTTCTTTTTTCGGCACAGCAGGAACCTGTGCTCCTCCGGAAAACGCCATTCGTCCGACACTGACTTCAAGGCACTACAATGCACCGAAGTTCTACAGCCAGTTGCAGGATGCGACTCCGGAGAAGTTCCAGAAGGCCGTTTTCTTTTGTGAACATCGATGTGTTGAAGAGAAGTCGATGAATCTCATCTCGCACAGGCAGTAAGAAAAGGTGATCTAGGTTCACAGACTTTTCATTCTCTTTGCGTTCCTTTAATCTCCTTTATTATTGTTTAAAAGCAATTGCTGAGGTTTTGCGTAGATGGTTGCAAGAGTTGGTCTTCTACCACCAAAAGGCGCTAAGGCTTTCGAACCCCCAAAAGGTGCTGGATGTGTTTGGAGCATCGACCTCAATACACTGCACCACTGACCCCAAACAGCGTGATGTACTTCACTTGGTTTTGCCTTCAATAGAACCCCAACAGCTAGCTGTTTGGGGAAGCAAGACTTGTCAGTTGGTTCCTTGGATAAACCGCTTGAACACCTTCAGCTTGCTTCCTCCGCTGCTTTGCGCCACGGCGGTTTATGTCCGCGCGATGAGTTCCGGTCGGTCAGGTGGTCTTCGGAGCCTTCACCTTCGCGACTTGGTCCGACGAAGGGACGACCTGGAAGGGGAAACCTAGACACGATCTGTCTGGGACTGGAATAGGACTGCCGATCAATGGGACTGACCCACCAAAAATGCCTAGACTGGACGACCCCAACATGGAACTGCACAAATTATGGCGAGGACAAACGAGGCAACGAGGTGGCTTAGGGAGAATTAGCGAGGACAATCTTAATTTCGTTCCATGAATTAAGAAACTGACGAGGTAGCCTCGGATGGTTCCGGTTCAAGTTGGAGGTGGTTAAAAAAGAAAAAACTTGTTGGGCTTCAATAAGTTGCCTTTGCTTGGCTCTGAACGTCAAAGTGATTGAATGGAATAATAAACTTTTCAAGGCCCAGAAAGTTTTTTTCATTTCCCAGGGCCAAAGGCATCTTCACTTTTGGACCAAAAGTGTGTGTGATCGGTGCTTCTATGAGTACGCAGCCATGAGTATGCTCCGGGTTCTCGTTTCGTCTCATGGGCACGAGCTCTACAAGGTTGATGTTTGCCCAGAAGGCACATGGAAACCTGTGCCTCAACCTGCTGGAGTGTATATTTAAGAAACTGACGAGGTAGCCTCGGATGGTTCCGGTTCAAGTTGGA